CCCAGCACCATGAGAACAGTGTCAACGTAAAGGCAAAGTGCCTTGGTCACTTTCTGAAGACTGAGCTGCCCTGGCCTTTCTGTAACGTCCCGGCTCACGGAGGGCACGCGGCGGGACGCTGCGGAGGGGACTTCGACCCCCCAGGCTGTGGTTTCTGGTGACTTTCAGCTGCGGTTGTTTCTGGAAAGATCCAGAAAGCTTTCAGGGGTTTGTCATTTGTATTATAGCCTATTAAACTGTCTTTGGGCTTCTGAATATTTAATCTGTTTAAGATAATAGCACAATGTTTCCTATCATTTATTTATTGGTACAAAATGCTGCCCACACGGAGGTAGAAATAGACCCTGCCCCAAAGAACACTCAAGCTAAGATCTATAATGGTGTACAGAGGACAGTAGACTATTCTAGCCACAAGAGATTAGGGAGGTAACCCATTAACTGGTTAAACCTTTAACCCGTAAGCATTGCCTTACTGGCATACTTACTGGGGTAACCGGTTAACCAGCGCCCGGCACAGCCCATGGCATACCACGGGTAGGGGGCTGCTCCTGGCTGGCTGAGCCCATCTGCTTCGGGCATGGGGCGCTCTAGCCCAGCTGGGCAGGAATAGCACCCCCACCTGTGCTACGCCGTGGGCAAGAGCTGCTCCAGTGCCTCTCCCCTCACCCGTGGCATGGCGGGCGGTCAACCAGTTAAATGTATTGTTAACCAGTTAACAATGTACATGGGATTTTACCTCCCTACAAGAGATGCTCAAGGTGACGGTATTGAGCCTGGAGAGAGAAATAGTGATGCTGGAAGACAGCTGTTAGCCTCTCTCCTCTAGAGACCAGAGTTCAAGTCTTGTCTGTGGTCACTAGTGAAGATGAGAAAGTTTTATACACAAACACAGGCAGAGATGCCCAAGAAACTCACGCCTGTTCATTCTCTCTCTCTCGGGAGCAAGCCCATTCCCCACTCTGGGTCTGAAGCCCCCCATCTCTACAAATCAGGGATGTGAATGGATTCTCAAGCTTGTACCATTCCTTCTATATGAATGAGACACACTACGTAGGTGTAAAGTGTTGATATAGTGTTATAATTTACCAGCATCAAAATCCCTTGACATCTAATTCTCCCAAGGAAGCTGGCAATGAAAACTGGAAATGGCACCTTGTGAGCTCCTGCTGCTGGCGATGAATGTTAAAACAACAGGGAACAGAAGGAATGTAATGTCTTATTGCAATCTTAAATTCTAATTTCCGAGCCCTGCTTGCATCATCTAACAATTGTCAAGATGTGCCATGTAAGATAGTGTGAGATGGCCGCGATCATTTGTTACCGAAAAATATATGTTTGTTTCATTCCCACTTCCCTGTCCAGAGTGAATGACTGTCACTGGATTTTAAAGAAGTAGCTTGATAAACAACGAATAGTCCTGTGGCATCTTAGAGATTACCAAAATATAGAGAATCATGAGCTTTTATGGGTAAAACCACTTCCTCAGATGAACTAGAGTGAAAATAACAGAAACTAAGAGAGAGATGTAACAGCAGAAGACGTTATCATCAAAAGCTATGTATGAGACACAGCCAGCCCTCTTATTTAGCCTCATTAACACAGGTCCTACAATTGACAGGTAATGCTTCTACTGTTTTTTATATATATAAAATCTTGGTTTTTATTATTTCCACTCCAATTCATCTGAGGAAGTGGGTTTTACCCACAAAAGCTCATGATTCTGTATATTTTGGTTAGTCTCTAAGGGTACGTCTAAACTACATGCCTCTGTCGGCAGAGACATGTAGATTTGTTTGTTCAGCAAAGGCAAATGAAGCCGCGATTTAAATGATTGTGGCTTAGCAAAAAAAAAATCTCAGAAGGTTAGCCATATTAGTTCGTAACTTTAAAAACAAGTAGTCCTCTGGCACCTTAGGCTGTGTCTAGACTACATGCCTCTGTCGGCAGAGGCATGTAGATTAGACAGATCAGCAAAGGCAAATGAAGCCGCGATTGAAATGATCGCGGCTTCATTTACATTTACATGGCTGCCGCGCTGAGCCGACAAACAGCTGATCAGCTGTTTGTCGGCTCAGCGCGGCAGCCATGTAAATGTAAATGAAGCCGCGATCATTTCAATCGCGGCTTCATTTGCCTTTGCTGATCTGTCTAATCTACATGCCTCTGCCGACAGAGGCATGTAGTCTAGACACAGCCTAAGGTGCCAGAGGACTACTTGTTTTTAAAGTTACGAACTAATATGGCTACCCCTCTAAGATTTTTTTTTAGCTTGATAAAGTTACTACATATTTGTAGCTATACCTGCAAAGAGAAAGATAGTCTAATCTCTTCCTTCTGGATTAAAGCCAGTTTGCCCCAAGGGTTGGAGAAGAGGCACAATTGGTCAGTTATATTTTTTTTTCCTTTGGCCTTTCTCGGAAACATCACTCAGTAATTCTTGCCTGTGCAAAGAGACCAGACTTGATGGTCTGATCTACTGTGGTAGAAAGTATAGTACAGTATATCTAAGAGAAGGTCGCTTGATCTTTCCTCCAAGGTGACAGGGAAAGAAATAATGGTACTTAAAGGCTATAATTGTGTATGCCAAAATACTTCTCCCTCCTTTCAGAGCCCAGCTACGTCTGTGAGGCTGGTGAGCATACAACTCGACTTAAACGGCTGTGGGGGCTAAATTCCCTTGGCTTTATTTGTGAGCTGAATCTCACCCAGAGTGTGTTTAATGTTGGGCAACATATAAAAAGTCTGTTTCTCTGTGTGCCGGATAGTTGAGAAAATATTGTCGAGTCCCATAGCAAGTATGGGGATGTGTAAGGCATGCATGAAAGGACAAGTGGTCTGGCAAGGTTATGGGGCAACAGATGAGGATAAAACCTTCGACTCTTTATTATGTTGGATTTTTATAAAAAAAGATCCTGCTGAGCGTATATTCCTCAGGTCTGGGCTGCCTCCCATTTCCCTGTTCCGTAGAGAGGAAAATGTTATAAAGGCTATTTTCCACAGCTTTAGTGCTTTCTGAAAGGGTCTTCCCTTGCATTCCTCTCTTAGAATGAGCTGGTAGTCAGGGCTGGATTAAGGGGGTGGAGGGCTAGCCGGGCAGCTGTTCGGGGCGCCAGCCTATGGGGGGCGCCTGATTGAAGTGGTAAGGGATGCTGTATGCCCGGGGGTGGGGCCGGGGTGCAAGTATGGTTCAGTCTGGCAGTGCTGATAGTCCCATGTTCTACAACTGTCAGGGATGATCTAGACCAGTGTTTCTTAAACTGTGTTCCACGGCACACTGGTGTGCTGCGAGGCGGTCGGAGGTGTGCTGTGTAGAACAGAGTTCAAAATGGCCACTTTTTTTTTTTGCTCAATTACTTCCCCCCTACCTTTTTTTTTTCTGCTCAACAAAAAATCCTTGGTATTCCTCATTTTAAAAAAAATGGTCTGGTGTTCCTTGATCTTAAAAAATTTAAGAAAACTGGTTGAGATAGTACCTACTTTCTCCCTGAGTGCCAGGGACTGGACTCAATGACCTCTCAAGGTCCCTTCCAGCCAGTTCTATTGTTCTAGCTCCATTCTAATGAAGCAAGCGACTTGGGTTGTGAATCCGGGTTACACGCCGCGTTTATGGGCAAAGTGGTGTTTGGGTGAAGCTGAGAGACCTTTACCTTTCTGAAAGTCCATGTATCTTGATACAGCTGCATACTGGGCAGTGGCTTGTGGATCAGAAGCCTACACACACTGGCCTCATGCAGCCCTGTGACCCCAGAAAGATCTTCTCTAACCCCCGGACACTGCCTCTGGGTGTTTTTCTGAGTGGCTGTGATTCGTGTAGCTGTGCTTGGGTCTTCTTATGAGTCTCTTCTCAAGAGAGGGAAAGACCCTATTTACACTACACAAGAGGAGACTGCCAGTTCCCGGGGTTGGTTGGGAAAACGGAGCAGGCCCATGTCTAGCTAAAAATACTGCCTGGGGCCCAGCGGGGGGAATGGCCCCAATTTACCTGTGAGTGAAATTTCACTCACTTGGGTTGAGCTTAGCCCCTCACTGCTGCCTCAGTCAGGACAGGGCTGAGAAGAGGCCTGCGATCTCAGCTCGTGTCTGCTTCCCTCTGACTCAGACCCCCTGCTATGAATGTGTATCCCAGAATGTGCTCTCTGGGCTCCTATCACCATATTTTTGTTCTTTTAAAGGCCCCGTTACCTTGTGGCCATTTTACCTGTCCCCGCAGCCCCGTCTCCCATCCTGGGCACCACAGCCGCATGGTTCTTCTATTGCCTGCCTCAGCGCTGAGAGTAAACGTAACGTTCAGATTAGGTAGGACATTCCCTCCTAGCAATAAGCAAAGAACACATGAGAAGCTTTGCTATTAATGCTAGCCTGGAAGCAATGCAGGGACTGCTATTTGTATTTCAGAGGGGCGGGGAAAGGCTGCACGTCCTCTCTCGACACAGGTGCTGCACGTAGGGCGGGTCTATAGGTTGGTTGAAAGCGGCGCGTTGTAGGAGTTGGGTGGGGAGGGAGGATACGTGGCGATTCATTTAAAACAACCTTGTCCGGTTCCCCTCACCTGGAGCGAGCCAACTGGGGTTTTTTTGGGCAGGTGAATAATTACCAGTCTCGTTAGGGCTTGGCACGCGTGAATCCTTGTGCCAAGCGGAGCCCAACAGCACCCCGAGCTGGAATGTCTCCTCTCGCCGGGAGTTGCAATATGCTAGTCTTGTCTCTCAGACAGTATTTTTATGTGAGCTGATGGTTGCCAAGGTAACAGAGGCTTAGGGGAGTCTCACGTCGACGTAGCTTGCTGGCCTCTGCAAGCACTGGGAGCAGATGTTGGATGGAGTCCTCGGAGCCGGGGCTGACAGCACGAACAATGCTCCCAGCCGTCGCAGGGAAAAGGCGCTGGAGAGAAGCATTTGCCTAGTCGTGCTTGGGTGCAAGGGAGCAAGTTGAGGGCTCTCTCCTTTTTTTTTTTTTTTTTTTTTTGGTTATAATTTAGTATTCTTGTCTCACCCCCACAGGGGTTCCTCAGCCGCCGGCTGAAAGGCTCCATCAAAAGGACAAAGAGCCAGCCCAAGCTTGATAGGAACAGCAGCTTCCGGCACATTTTACCTGGCTTCAGAAGCGTGGACAATGAAAGGTAAGGGACCGCGTCTCTCCAGGGGGTGGGGGGTGCGAGAGGGAGAGTGCGCGAGGTTATTGATTTTCCTGGGCTTGCTAATATACTGCTGGTCTCACTTGGAGCATTGGGCTAAATATGCAGTAGAAGCGGGCTCGTTTCATCACAGAGAGGGGCGATCTTCATTTGCAGAAGAGCAGGCTATGCAAATCCTCCCTTTTTCAGCTCGCGGGATTAGAATCCCCTCTTGTCTATTTTTTTTTAATCTGGTAATAAAATC